GGGGGGGGTGGTAGGGGAGGAAGGAAGGGAGAAGGGAACTGGGATTGTCATGTAAGTCAATCTTGTTTCTAATTCAAATAAAAAATGTTTTTAAAAAAAAAAATCTGGTCCCACAGGCCCTTCAGCTTGGGACTACTTGTAGCGAGCTGATGATTAGGAAAGGGTCCTGTGCCTTTCTACTTGCCACAACCAGCACACAAAATCCTTTTATGTACTGCTAGTGAATGGCAGGTTCAAGAGTTTCAACTTGTTTGTGACAGCTCTCTATTTTTACTGCATGTGTTTATTTTAAATGCATAAACTATATGCTAACCTGTGAACATTAAAGTTTAGTAGGCAGAGAAAATTTTAGAAAAATTTCGAGTATCTTACAAATAAACCTGTAATAGCATTTCAAATTTTGAAAAAAAAATATTTCTAGTCTGCTAATTTAGAAGATACACTTACATTAACCTAAATTTGGCATTTACAGTTTGAGAATCTATTACATGTCAGAAATAATTTCTGGCAATAATCTGTGATCACTATTCCCCCCTCTCTATATATTTACACATACTTGAATAACTTGTGCTACTTAAAAAGTTAAAAATACCTTTGAACACATGTACTTCATAGAACACTCAACCTTTAAATGTTTATCTACTCAAGGTACTTGATGATGGGACAGTGGAACACAGAAAAACTATCACAAGTTGTTTGATATTTACCTCACAGCAACAGTTACTACTAATATTTTAGTGTACAGTCTTTCATATTCTTTTTTCATAAAACACACAGATATCATACTTTTAATGAAAAGCACACCACAAAGTCTATTTAGTAATTTTTCTTTTCCTTTCTTTCTTTCTTTCTTTCTTTCTTTCTTTCTTTCTTTCTTTCTTTCTTTCTTTCTTTCTTTCTTTCAACTTATGATTGCCAGGTCTTAGCTTGGCTTGTTTCTAGCCAGCTTTTCTAACTTAAATTATCTTATTTCTCTTTAACTACATTTTGCCTCTGGGCTTTTTACCTTATTCTATATATCTTTGTTTCTTACTCCATGGCTGGCTGTATGGCTGGGTGGTTGGCCCCTGGCATCCCACTCGCCTCCTTTGCTCTTCTCTAGATTTCTCCTCCTGTTTATTTAGTAATTTGTTTTTCTACTTAATACATCATGCACATAGCTCAATACACTCAAAAACAATGGATGAATGTTCTGTATTTTGAATTATAGTACAGTCCAACACAGCTGTGAACATCGTGCTGTTACCAGTTTTATTTTGTCTACCATCCCTTTTCTGTATAGACCCTTATAAGCTTGAATGCATCCTTAAGGCATGTGGGGCCAATGTCATTCATTTGAGATTTTATTCGACACTGCTTAAGGCTGCAGAAAAGACCGAACTTGCTCACAGTAATGGAGGGCAGTCTGAGTTTCCTATGCAGCCACTTTCACTGTAGTCTTTGTAACCTATTTTTTTTTAATTTCTTTAACTTTATTTTATGTGCATTGCTGTGCAGTTATTAGATTCCCTGAAACTGGAGTTACAGACAGTTGTGAGCTGCCATGTGGGTACTGGGAATTGAACCCAGGTCCTCTGAAAGAATAACCAGTAACCATTGAGCTATCTCTCCAGCCCTGAAACCTAAATTTTAAGAGCCATAATTATCAATGTATATTAAGTGTCTGTGTTAACAGGTTTCACTGTGACATTTCCATACAAGCATATATTGTGCTATGGTCATGTCCACCTTCCCAACTACTCCCCTACCTCCCTACTCCCATCTTCCTCTTTCATGCCCACCTGTGAGAGGTCATATTTTTTAGTTTTTTAACCCAGCATTCTTTCTCTACATGAGAGCTGACAGGCAACACTGTATATTTGTCTTTTTTGTGCCACATCACATTTTCTTAAATGTTTAAAAAATAAATAGGACTTTGGTCTGTCCATCAATTATACGAACAGAACCAAGCTACAAACCAGGTAAACTTTGATACTTAAGGAAAAAAAGTATCTACTTTATTTAAGATCATGTTGAAACCTCTTATATAAAAAGCATGAGATCCATATGGGAAACATAACTCCCAGAGAGGATCATGGAAAACTACCTCTTCTAAACCAGCACAGGGCCCTAACTAAACAACACCACAAACCCTTGCCTGCATTTCTGAGAAGAGTGTTCCATTCAACTTGTGCCTAGCCCAGCCCAGCCCAGCCCAGCCCAGGCTCAATAACTACAGTGGGCTAGGCATAACCTGCAACCTTGAATAAGACTCTTCTAGAACCACTTGGTCCAGAGAAGGGGGATGCAGGAGACACTTGTGACCACCCACGAATTACCATGGATGCCTTTTCTTCAATATGTAGGTTTCTCAGCAGTGTTTCACAACTCCCTCCCGTAGACAGGGGCTGTGTATAACTGCTTGAGAACTCCAAAGATGAACATAGGCATTGGCCTAAGAAATGAAATTAGTACATACTAGTTGTAATCGGAACGCTTCAACATGCATTAAGTGAGCTCAGTGGGAGGTGCTCCCTCCAAGGCCCATGTTAGGGTCCATTGCTGGCTTGTAACCACTGGAAATGTCCAGGTGCACAGTGTGCCCTTCTGTATTATTTATACTGCAGTTCTTTTATGTTCTCAGCTGTATTTACCCACTTAAGACAGAAGGTTCTAGAGAAGAGAACTGTGTCCCTCAATAAACAAATCTTTGCATTCGTACCAAACTTATAAATAACTATCATATGCTCTGGTTTATTCTGTTAGATAGACTTTCTTTTTTTTTGTCACTTCCCTACTTTAATATCTCTCCAAGGACCCAGCTTGTTTCATCCCCCAGGCGATGAAAGCTTAAGACTGTCTCATCGTTATTCAAAGCACAATTGCCAGCATTCAGCATCCGGGACCAAGCTGGTCTCTGGGCTGGTCTCCTACAAAGCTAAGTGCAGAAAAAGCCTCTCCAAAAGCTTTAGGACTGTCTGACCTTAGCAAGGACAGTCTGTCTGCTCCACAATAAAAGGGCCAATTGATTCTCCTGGGACACCTCTGATCGCAACTGCAAACAGTGCAGGGTGGGAAAGGTCCTCCGGTCATGGGAAAGTCCAGGCGGCTGTTGCTTTGGTGAGTTAATGAGCTACTAGACACAGAGGCTCAGGAAGGTGCTTTGCAAATATGTTCTACCTGCAATTGTTCCAGGAGATCAAGGTTCTGTTTGCGTAAGCTGCTGTTGGTTTTCTCCAATTTATCCATTCTTTGGTTGTCACTGAGATGAGAGGAATCGATAAGTTCTTCTTGGAGCACATGGTACTCAACCTCGTAGGCTTGTAGCTGTTTGGTGATGTCCATCTCAAACACCTGTTAGATACAGAAGAGAATCATCAGGCTCCAAAACTAAGACAAGTGCCCACACACATAGGTACCTGTATACATGCGTGCTCAAGCCAATGTGCATCTACCATCCCTCTGTGCTTAGCAGCATGATTATAACACACATGAAAGATAAGGAAATTCATCTCCGAGAAGGTTGTGATTTAAATAGGGAGGATAATAACAAACGTCTAGAAATAATTCCAAAGCATAAAATCAGTGTGGGTTCTAGTACTCTTTTTCTAACCCGCCACCCTCTTCCCAAAAAAAGCTTTAAAAGACTTTCAAGGGGCTAGAGCGTGGCTCAGCAGTTAAAGGCTGCTCTCCTAGAGATCGGAGTCTGACTTTTAGCACTCACGTGGTGGCTCACAGCCATAACTCTGTTCTAAGGGATCTGATGCCCTCTTCTGGTCTCCATAGGCACCAGGCACTCAGGTTGCATGCATGCATACAAACATACATACATACATACATACATACATACATACATACATACATACACACACACACAGACAAAATACCCTTACATATAAGTAAACAAACAAAACAAACCTGAACAAGACTTTCAAAAATTTTAGTTGTCGCATGTTTTCTCTGCAAATTCTATTAAATATACTGACTATAGGTTAAGAAGTGACAAAAGAATTATGTCCTGTTTGCACAGTCACCAGGTCCAAGTTTAGTTACAATCCAGCTGGGTTTTCAGAGTTGCAAGAATGACAAAGTAATGGAACTGTTAGTGAAAAAGTCCTCTTGACACAGATATGCTGCAGAAATGAGCCAACCCCAATTGTCACCTGCACGGATGAGTGAACATAGAACAATGCCTGAGTTGTCTCTCCCCCAACAGCAACCGTGGTAACAGAGCCACAGGTGTGAAACAATCCCCAAGTGCAGAAGTGACTCAAGTGGCAGTGCCTGTACTTTCTCCTGATGAGGAAGTGACAGGGCTGTAGTGAGGTCAGAAGACAGACCAGTACAACCCCTTCTCAACCCTGCAGGCTGAAGTCACTCAGCATAGGACCATATCAGTTACTTTTCTTGTTGCTTTGACAAAACGCTCAACAAAAGTAACAAGGAACAAAAGGTTTATTTTGGCTCAGTTCAAGAGTGTTGAGTCCACTGTGGTGGCAGGAACATGAGGTGGCTGGCTGGTCACAGTACATCCCTGGCTAGGAAGCAAAAAGACAGGTGCTCGGCTCACCACCTCCTTTCTATTCAGTTTGGACCCCAGCTCCTGGGAGGGAGGGTACTGCCCACATTTAGGGTAAATCTCTCACCTTAATTAACTAATCTGGACACTCCATCAGGCAAGTCCTGAGGTTTGTCCCCTAGGTAATTCTATCTTGTCAAGCTGACAGTCAGTAGTAACGGCATAGCCCTCATGGTGGATCTGGCAGTTACAACCTTCTAGAACAAGACTGTTGGTCCAGAACACTTGTTCTGAAGATGAAGTCAAGGCTTCTGAAGGGTCAGAGCAACTGTACTGCATTTCCTAATTAATGAAACAACACCCTCAAAGCCTTGGAAAGTCAGCTTTCCCTGAAGGTACCCTACAAGCACTGAGCTGTCTTCCACTTTCTCTCCATTCCTAATCGTCTTACTTTTCTCTTTGAGATGAAAATTTCAGCTTCCTAGTTTTCATGTTAACTCAGGGATTAATACTAAGTAGATTCAAAATTCATTCTGTAACTATTAAGTCACGTGCTATCTGCATCTGCCTGCTTTTCCTTTTGTTTCTGAGAGTGACTGTAAGTTCAGTGGGGACTACCATCTCAATTCACATCCCTGGTGACTGGCCCAGGTTGAGTCAGCTTTGACATTGGGGATCCACTGGCAACCTCTGAATGACTCTAAACAACTCACTCAACCTCTCCTGGCCTCAGTTCCTATGTGGGGCAATAACATGTACCTCTCTGCACTGAGCTCAGAATGAAAAGACTATTCATAAAAGTTTCCAGTGCATGCCTGGAAAGCTCTTGTCTTAGCTAGAGTCTTTTTATCACACTTGTCAGAAACCTTCAGATTTTAACCTCATGTCTCAACAGAATTACATTGGATGCTCATCTGGGGCTTCTGAGCAGTCCGAGCAGGGCAAGAACCATGGTCGTGAACCCAGCAACTGCTATGGCACTCATGTGTAATCACTAATGTGGCATGGAGCACATACACATTGGTTTTAGAGATAATTTCCTGTCCTGGGAACCTTAGCAACAAAGCCCTTGGCCTCTTCTACAGACTGACCACAGGCTATGCCCCCTTCTGGGCCTTGATGAATTCCTAATAACTATCCTGGGTCCCCATTGTCTCAGTTTCATTGCAGCATCACCTGGCTGGTTAGAACACAGTCCATGACTGTAGTTGTATCCCAGATATGGTCCAAACAAACCTCAGCAGCCTGTCTGGGGTTGCAAGAGCCCTGCCCCCTGAGTAGTGTGTATAATTCTTGGGCCAATGACTTGGAAAGGGACTGAAGAATAAAGGATGGCAGGCAGCGCTTTTTACTCTTACATACTTAGAAGGCACAAGTGACTGACTGATGGTGCCAGTTCTAAAGAAAAAAAAAAAAAAAAAAAAAAAAAAAAAAAAAAAAAAAAAGCAGGAGGGCCTAAGATGAGGGCCTGACTCCATAGTGGTATCTCAGGAAGCACAGTCATTAGTCACTGTGTGTCAACAACTGGAAAATCAACATGCTTTGGGAGAGGACTCACTTCTTGAACAAACGATAAACAGATCCTCCCCACTGAGCCTTCTATAACCCATTCCCTGAGCACGCTCACTCCCTGAAGCTCAAGAACCAGTTGTAGTCATCTTTCTTCTGGATCATCTCAGGTTCCACTTGAGCTTTAAATATCAGGGACCTCGTGCCTTCCACTACCCTGCCTGCTCCTTAGTTTCTCCAAGGTTTTCAGGAAAGTTCCAGAACTTTAGTGCTGAACGGAGCGTTTTCTTCTGTTTGTCAAAGCAGGGATTATTCATTTCCTTATGTTCAGTGTTTTGTCAAAAACACACACTATCAGCTTTGTTACTGAAGCAAGAAAACTACAATGCAGGAAGCATGGAAAGTAAGAATTACCAGTGTAGATTCCATCATCTTTATACTTTCTTTCATCTTTACTATTATAACCACATTTTTTCTAATCGTAAACAAAACTAACATCAAATATCCTTTCTCAATATTTTTCAAAACTATCAATATTTTTCATTCAATTTTATGTTCTAAGGGCTTTTGCATGTGGCGCCATGTTCCCTATAACCACCAACATAAATGGCTTCATGGTTTTTTACCAACTCAGCATACCACAGACATATCAGCCCATTCTGTAAATGCTAGACATCTTGATACTTCCATTTTTTTGTTATTACAAATGACAACTCTAAGACAATTTTCTTATACATATGGCTTTCCCAGTGTTCTGGACCAATTCCTCAGGCTGCATTCCAATAGTTGGGATTCTTGCACCAGAGGGGTCTGAATGTTTTATTGTTGTGAGGTGCCTATTACCAAACCACTTCCCATGGTAGGAGCAATCAAGACAGAGTGCCACTAACATGAATTGATGTGCCAGATGCTGCATGCCCTTGGCACTGCATACTGGTATTAAAAAGTCGGTTTGTTAATCTAGCAGGGAAGGCATTATATGCTATGCAGAAATTTAAATTATGCATGAAGCTAAATATTTCTCCAGATATACGTCTGCTAGATGGCTCTCCTTGTATGTTTATGTTCTTGGCTCATTTGCTATTGAAGACTCGGCGTTTCTCTTTGCAGTCTCTGAACATGGTATAAGGAAGGTACTGACTGGTGACTTGCAGAACTAGCCACATACTTTTGACTTTCCTAACTTCTAGACCCTTCCTCCAATCTGTTAGTCTCAGTAGCTATTAGGGCAGGACAGTGAAGCAGTCTGCCTGGGTATCTGCAACAAGGGGCACACTGTCTATAGTAAATTTAAAAACAACAATAAAGCTAACTAACAGTCAATCTGATTTTAATTATCACAGCATGTGGCAGTGGTAAAACACTCATGAGAGTCCTCATGGCACTCCACCCTCCAGGTGAGCCATTATTGCCTGTTTTTTTTGTTTGTTCTTTACAAACTACTCATTTCAACCAGTGCAGTGGCTCATGCAAGGGTAAGGGGCCACCCCGCTGCAATAGCCTCCTATGAACACAGAAGCTTTGTGAAGATTGGTTTGTGCCCCACAAGGTCAGGTACAACTGGGACCGTCTCTTAATAAACAGTGCTCATGGCACAGCTTCCACATGGTCTTGTGGATCTGGTCTTGTGGAGCCCATAAACCTGCCGATTCCTGAGTCAGCAGGTCTGGGGTGGGCCCCAGATTCTACCTTTCTAACAAAGTCCTTACATGACTGAACAGTGCAGGTCTAGGACCACAGTGCTGGTCCAGGCCTGCAGTGCAAAGACTAAACCAGGATGCCAGAGGCCTGCCTCTCAAAGCAGCCCTTTGATTTTTCCTGCTGTGACGTGAATCAAGGCTTCAGAGTCACAGAGTACTCAAGGTAATGTGACTGTGACCGACAATATGGCCTGCAGCACCCTTTGGTACTGATAATTCCCAGAAGGCCCTCTTTCTAGGTCAGAAGGTGCTTATGGCCTACTGCATCTGACAACTGTGGTGAGCACAAGGCCACACTGAGGAAGGCAAGTGGCTCCAGAGACACCAGCTCTTCTCTCCTGGACAGTCAACCTTGGAGATGCTTATGATGCTGTTCTCGGCATGACCCAACTAAGCCAGGGCTATCCAGGAGCCCAGCTGAGTCCTAGCTGCTCAAGTAGTCTACAAAGAACATTTAATACCATCAGAGAGGACTGCCCTCCCACCACAGCCTACCCATACACAGGGCTAATTGCTCTGTCATCTCCAAAAACTGCACCCATCACTTCCACTGTGAGGACTTCCCAGGTTTGAAGCTAGGAGTTCCTCCCACCAGTGAGTAACCAAGCTGCACGCCTCACACTTGCTCTCTAGTCTCTGGTCAAGACTTAACCACCCTCTCAAGGGGAAGGGGCAGCAAGCCTGAGTTCTCAGAGCTCATACTGAAACACAAGCAAGAAGGAGGGCAGAGAACTGCTTACACTCTTACCCGTTTTCTATCAATTCTATTCCTGGAATGAAAACCTGGGGTCCAAATGTCAATTTCACCCAGCCCACACCCTCATTACCTCACCACAACACTGAACACATCTGGTACTGGAACCAACTACTCTCTGTTCTCTTTCTGTGCCTCTGGCATGTAGCTCAGCAAACTATAGCCTGCTTTTGCAGCATTCTACCGTGACATGGCTACTTCATTCCTTTACCTGCTGCAAAGACAGCTGGGGAACTGCAGCAGAGGCCTTCTGGACCTCTTAAAAGCAGAAAATCTAAAATATTCTTATCCAGCCTCCACACAAAATGCTGGTCATCCAGAATCAACTCATTCTTCTATGCCCAGTGGACGAAATTATGTCAGCTCTAACACTCAATACCCGGCACCCTTGTGGTCTCCCCCACTTAGGCCCTGCCATTGCATATGGGGTGCTGGGACTGCCTAATCTCACTGAAAATGGAAACCCGAATGCTATGACCTAGACCTGCTAAGGAGCCTGGGCAGTACTGCAAAGTTCAGAGCAGTTGCCTGAACCAACTCAGGTACACAGATACAGACTGTTGTCATCCCGTGCTGAGACACCCTAAGCCTCCGATATTGAAAGGGTACCTGATGAGTACTAGAGTGCTCGATGCTGCCAACAAGTATAGTTCTTCACAGAAAAGGAGAGGAAAAAAACAAACAAATAACAAAAGCCCATTATTCCCCACCTTTTCTGAGGCTGTGTACTCAAGGGGCAGATTAATGACCTGCCTTGGAGCTGGGATAAGGCTAGAAGTTAGCACTCATTGACTCTAGTCTAGGAAGCCAAGGCTCTGAGTTTACCTCAGAGGCTATGACACATTAAGTATATTCCACAAAAACTATAAGAAGGGAGCAAATTAGTGCAAACATCAGAAATTAAGAGAATCAAGAGTTCACTCTGTATTAAGACTCAAATACAATCTCGAGATAAGTGTTGTGGGCAGCTGCCGAAGCACTCTGAGGTGAGATGTGCCTGAAATGCCCCTCGTCCCACTCCCCCCAACAGCAGAGTGAGTGTGGACCTGTTAATTAACCATTCTCTGGCCTCAGGAATGTGGTCATGACTGCATGAAGTCATGTGTATACACAGATCCCTTAGGACCTGGCAGAAAGGATGGACTCAGCAATCCAAAGCGGTCCACACTGAGCAACTGGGCCAGGCAGGTAAGACCTGGAGCAAAGCAGTTAGCCAGAGATAAGTGCAGATTGGACAAGACCTTCTCCTCACTGGCATGTGCAGTATGCAAAGATACATGGTCACGAGCAACAGGGAGCCCTTGCTCTTGGCCAGATTTGTACCTTTTTCAGTACTTAACCCTAAGATAGAAGAACTAAAGAGGCTGCATCTGGTTGCAATTCACTGGACTGTCCTGAGCTATCTGGTGAATGATCAGAAGTTCTTACATAAGTATTTACTTTTTTTTTTTTAAAGCTTTATTTCACCATCTGTGTTTAAATGACTGATCTAGATTTTTATCTATAGAACATGTTCTACGCTTAGGCGAGCTGACTGCTGACTCTGCAGTGTGATCCAATGATGAAACCCCTTCCAGTACATTCTGGAGATGGTTTATTTAGCTTGTTAATGTGCCTGGATTGAGATATGCCAGGTGATTAGCAGAGCAAGGTTCTGGGTATGTCTGTGCAGGTATTTCTGGCGATAACTGGTGTGTGTCAGAACAACTCAGGGAGGAAGACTTGTAAATGTGAGCAGTCCCTCCCATCCAAGAGGCCGGGGGCCCAGTCACACAAAAGCAAAAGGAGGAAGCCTTTAATCCTAGCCCACGGGAGACAGAGGCAAGAAGCTCTCTGTGATGATGCCACATAAGTGAATTCCAAGGCAGCCAGCGCTACACAGTGAGACCCTATCAAAGGAGGAGGGGTGGTTGGGGGAAGGGTGGGAACAGCTTACAAGCAAGCTAAGTTCTGTTGCTCCTGCACAAGTGTAGCTACTGATGCAGCCACCTACTACAGACACCAAATTCTAGCTCCTTTTGCCTTCAACTCACAGTTCTCCAGGAGGATTCCAGACCTTCTGCTAGGACTAGTACTAGGACTGCATCATTGGTTTCCCTGAGACTTCTGGCCTTGGGAACTGAACAGTTAGTAGAGTCTCTGGCTCAAAGGTATGGAGATGGCAATTAAACTACCTAGGCTCCAAATGCAAGGCAATTTAATAGCCCCACTCATCATTATGACACAGTCTATTGGTCCTGTTTCTGTAGAGAAGTCTGATTAACACACTCAGCCACACAGCCTCTGGACACTTTTAGTGGTGACCCTCCCACCCTAAGTATTTTGATCCTTCATCATCAGCAATCATTACCAGAAAAGTTTTTGTTCTATGGAACTGAAACTGGCTTCTACACCTAGCCCAAACCGTTCATGAATCTATGTAAAATGTTCGTCAATACCTTCCAACTGTCACAAAAGAACCATAAAAGAATGACATAGAGCAGATTCATAAAATCAATCTCCTACTGGTTACAGAAAAGTCATTTTCTGAACATGTCAATTAGTACCACTGAGAGGAAAAATCAAAACCTGGTACCTTGCAGAGGCCTGCATTTCAGAAGAACAAAGACAAGAACGGAAGCCTCTTACATGTAATGAACTACTGATGACTTGTCCTTGTTATCACACCTGACTTCCTGGTGCCTTTTGCCATTAACACACACAACATTAACACACAGTCAAACATTTCATCTTTTGATTCGTATCTGTGATGTGCCTTCCACAGGCTACTCCTCCTCAGGGAGTGACATTCTAGCCCCCAGCGGCATTTGGAAGGCCTGGATCAGTCCCTACCTGGTTGATGGTCTTCTCCATCTGCACCAAGCCCAGGTTGGGTAGTGTGTTCTTTATGAAGTCCACTATGGTTTCCAGGTTCTCCTGCTGCAGAATCAAGGGCTTATGGCTTCCCAAAAGACTTAAAGCCACTTTAAATATGACCTCTGATCCCTGAAGGAAGATCATATCTAATAAGACACAGAAACGCAGAGTTAAGGTCTGCCAGTTCCTGACAAAATACCACTCTCTTTTCTGTTCCATGAGTACAAGGGTGGGAAATTTAACCCAAGTTACAAATTTTGTTTCCTTTTGAAGACACTGTTATTTCTGGCAGAGTTGTCAAGACAATATTGCAAACAATAATTAAAAACAACAGATAAATATATGGCTTAGATTTTGTCACAGATTCAGATAAAAAATTTTCTACTCTGAAAAAAAAAACAATTAAATTCAAAAGAACTTTAAAAGTTGAGAAAATTTTTATTAGTTTATGATATTTTTCCATAAATGTTCTATATTTTAAAGGAGTTACCAAAACATGTTTTAAAAACACAGCTTTTATTTGGGTGTGTGCATGCACATATACACACACGTGGAATGAACACATCTATACACCAACATTCATTCAGAGGGCAGAAAAGGATATCGAGTAGCCTCCTCTACACCCTACATATTCCTTTAAAGGAAGGGTCTCTCCCTGAACCCAAGGCTCATGTTTTCCCATCTACGTTGGCAGCCAGCATGAGAGATCCTCCTGTCTCATTCCCACTCAGGGCTGGTGTTACAAGCAAGTATGGGATACCCAGCTTGTTTCTCTGGGCATCATGGCTGTGTAACGAACGAGAGCTTTTAACCATTGATCCATCTCTCCAGCCACTAAAACATGTTTTCAATTAGTAAAGCCAAAAGACTCTTGTAGATGGGAAATTATATTTTAAAATCAAAATATGGAATGAAAAGATACTTAAAGCTTTTAACAGGCCTACAAAATTTCAAAAGCACATTGAACTTTGTTATAATAATGGAGCCAAGAACCATTCTTCTGTATGAGGAGTTTCAAATTCAGTCAGGCTACTCTCCAGTTCTTGCTATGTTTTCTCATGATGGTTGGCAAACCACAGCAATTCCTACACTGACTTTATACAGTAGGACAAGGCAGGCAAGTAGACAAGGCAACAGGCTAAGCAGCCATCCCCAAGGTCTCCCCTTTTATTCCCTGGAATTGGAGCCAGTACAGAATGAGACTCTGTGCCCTGGAGCTAAATACACAGAGAAGAAAACTGGTTATTGGGTGACTCGATTCAGGCAAGTTTGACCTCGTGACACAGAGAAGAAAACTGGTTATTGGGTGACTCGATTCAGGCAAGTTTGATCTCAAAACTGGAATAAAGTTAAAAAAAGAAAAGAAGACAAAGCAAAAGAAAGAAGTAAAAACAAAAATATAAATACAACTAGGGACAACCAATATCAATTTCTCTCCCTCTGTGATAACCCCCTCCCCCCCTTGTTGGCTGCAATGAAGTAGAAAGGGTGAAGCAATGGCAACTGTTCAACCACAGGAAACAAAGCAAACACAAGGGTCCCATAGGAAGGGCAGCTGAGACGCCTCTCCATGTGGGTCAGAATGATAGCACGTAAAAGCTGTTCCCAAGCTGGAACATAAAGGCTGGACACTGCTGCAAAGGTGGGAAACGGAGTCAGGGCAGTACATGGACAAGGCACAGGGGGGAGGATGACCAATTGGTATACCTACTCAGCAGCCAGCTCTGGAAATTTCATCAGGTCATTGGCCATGTGAATGGAGTTGGTGCCGACTAGGATGGCCTCTGCTGGGAAATGAGGGCACCAGTGTAGCCTTCAATTGCTGACCACATGGGGGACCCTCATCTACTGAAAACACCACACCTGCTCAGGGCTTAGGCTGGCCCTAGCAATAGGATGACCTGCTTCCTTATTAGGGTTGGTTATAGAGACTCAGACAATAACTTCAAGATCTGGGTGGCTTAGAGGAAGTATACCCACACCAAGACATGCCTATTTTGTGGAATACACACCCACATATGAATCTCTCTGATGCAGGAAATGAGAAGATGGATAATAGTGTTACAAGATAGATTTATTCATTTATTTGTTTATGTGGATGCATGTATGAGCCAGAAGAGAGGATCAGATCTGCTAGAGCTGAGTTGCAGGTGGCTGTGAGCTGCCTGATGTGGGTGCTGGGAGCTGAACTCAGGCCCTCTGAAAAGCACTATACTCTCACAACTGCTGAGTCATCTGTCCAGCTCTTACAAGATGTATTTTAAATGGAAATGTTTTGTAAAAATCAAACAAAATGAGAAGTTTTATGTACTCTGAAAAACTTTAGACCTATTTTATTTTTTATTTTATTCTTTTTGTTTTTCAAGACAGGGTTTCTCTGTATTGCTTTGGAGCCTGTCCTGGAACTCTGTAGACCAGCTGGCCTCAAACTCACAGAGATCCACTCTCCTCCCAAGTGCTGGGATTAAAAGCATGTGCCACCAACCTAATTTTTAAGTAATTGGAAAAAATGTTACCTATAATCCACACCTACTGTGCCAGCCCATCTATTTCTATTTTGTTCACCTTCCCCTCCTCACGCATCTGCATTCAGGAATTCAAAAAAATCAACAATGCTAACTGTTCTTGGAAAGCCTCTGCAGGCAAAGTGACTGCTGTGTGGGTGGGGGGGTTCCTGCACCCACACTGTGGCACAGTTGCCCATTTCCCTCTTCTCTTTTTTCTCTGCATTTTCAAGTCATTCAGAAACAGGCAGGAAATAGTTCAGCTGATCCTACCTTGCTGCATTCTACTTGCTGAGAGCAACACAAATAACAACTTTCCCTTTGAAGACAGGAGGATTCTGGGAAATGTAGTAAAGGGGAGTGGCCATGTGATCCCCGGGAAGAGAGGAAGCATAAGGCAGGCGTCCTTGGTAAGATAAGTCCTTATAAAAATATATAGATTAATAGTTATGGTTGATAATTAAGACTGAGCTAGCAAATAAGAAATCCTAGTCATTGGCCAGCAGCACTGTAACTAATATCAGACTCTGTGTGTTGCTTGGGGTCTCTAACATGGTAGTGGAACTCAGGTGGCTGGCAGAAAGAGTTATCATTACAGACAACTTGCAGGAGTCAGTTTTCTCTTTCCTCCACATGGGCTCTGTGGACTGAACTCATGTCATCAGGTTGGGTGGCAAAAATCCTTAGCTTCTGAGTCATCTTGCTGACCTCACAAATTGGAAATTTGCTCATTCTTCTCATGTATAAAACAAAGAATTATCAATAAGGGTTCATTTGTTTTAAGATTTATCCAGATTTAAAGACTTACCGTGGAAAAGGTCCTAGGCCAGAAAGGTCTAAGAGCCTAAATGGCAGTACTATGCAATTTAATTACTGACCAGTACGGAGCTCAACAAGCAGGCTTGGTCAACACTGCTATAAATGGAAATGGCTTTGAAAACTCTATCTTTTCAGAGGACTGACAGCTGTGATGGACTGTGGAGCTGGTGACTCAGACAGGGACCTACCCGTGCAGCAGGGAGCTGCAGGAGCCAGGGATCTTGTCGACATTGGCATCTTTAGGCACACTGTATATAAAACCCCAAGACTCATCACTCCTTCAGAGAAAAACATCCTGCCTGAACTAGCTTCAGCTTTTATTATTAGCATTTAAGTCACAAATTGTTTGCAGCAGAAAGGCCCTCGTCTCCAGGGAGGAGACTGTTTTTCCTGTCCTTCCCCAGCTTACACAGCCTGAGATTGCTCTCCTGGAGCTAGGAGCTCTCTCTCCGCAGGTGGTGGTTCTGGTTTGGCCTGGGCAGGGGTGCCTCACTCATCCATCCCCTGTAGTCTAGTCTGCGCTCAGTTCAGCCCCTCTTGGCAGAGTTTCTCCCACAAACCATGGAATTCAACTTCTCAGCTGTTTCCAGACTATCAACAACCAGATCTCCCCACCCCCTGCTCAGTTCTAGTCCTCACATGACCCACAGAGCTAAAGGAATATGGGAGAAAGTGAGTGAGACAGGGCATTTTTTTTTTCTCTCCTATTTCCAAGGTATAGGAAACAAAAACTCTGAAGTTACTGGCAAGAAAGACTGAAGCCCACAGCTAGACATACATCCTGTAACTCTTGTTAGTATAGCAAGCATCTAGTTATGAGACTTTTATTTTTACATATGGTCTAAATAAACATCATGACATCTCACAATTTTCCAAACCATAAGATGGCTTTTACTAGCCATCTTACTTTAGTGATCCCCCCAAAAAAAGCTAGAAAATAAAAACCAAGTTGGGGAGAGAGTTATGCAAAAAGGAGTCATGAGCAGTTTAAGAACACAGATTCCTGTCACAGAAGGAAAGTTTTCAAAGGTTCTTGTGGACAGACAGAGGAAGTAAAGGTAATAAATAGTCCAGCATTCTGGGAGATGAGGAGGAAGGAAGCTAACACTCTCTAAGACTCAAAGACAAGTGTTAAGGGCTGGGGAGATGGCTCAGTGGTTGGTTGAGAGAGCTTGCTGCTCTTCCAGAGGACCCAAGTTCAATTCTGGGTACCTATATTAGGCACTTCATATTACCTGTCACTCCAGTTTCAAAGGATATGATACCCTCTTCTGGCCTCTCGGATATTCATACACATGGCATATACTCATATAGGCTCACACATATATATACAATAAACAGACAAACAAACAAAAAGCAAGTTTTAGCACTTTTGGAATTTAGAATCAAGATGTCTATTCAAAGTTTATGCAAAGTAGTGTAGAATCAGTGCTTCTGAGCAGTCCCTTAAGATGCTCCCCGAGGGGCTCAAGAGATGACGGGCCCTTGCTATGAAAGCATGTGGAACCATAGTACCCACATAAAAACAGGCTACCATGGCACAAGCCTATAACCCCAGTTCTGGAGAGGGAGAGACAGGAGATTCTCTAGGCCATACTAGCCAGTAAATCAATGAGAGACACTGTCTCAAAATAATGTGGGGAGGGATAATGGAAGACAGATCACCAACCCCTGGCTGCCTTATGCATGAGCATGCATAAGCACACATACGTACATGTATGTGTACACACACACATGCGAATATCCTCTCTGGTTCTAGAAATAAATCTTGAAAAAGCATGAGGTTACAACCACTTGAAAACAGAAGAGGTGACTAACGGAGGGCCGCGAGGAGCAGGGTCTGACCTACACTCACAAGATAAGGACTCCTAGGCAACCAAGCCTGACTACATAGTTATAAAGCCAAGCAAACCAGCACAGGATGACAACAGATGTTGCTTAACGGCAGAATGCTGGCTGGCAGACACATGGGGGAAGCTCACCAAAGACCCTGGCTACAAAGCCGAGTGGGAACTGTGAGGCGAACACCGTGAGAAACCAGGGAGCTGCGTAGAGGCTGGGGCCAATTTCGTGCTCTTCCAGGTGATTGTAGAGGTCTCTGTGGTAATCATGGAGGAGCCGTGACAGCTGGTACATCTGGATCTGCAGGAACACACATGCACAGGGGTTGGGAACTATGTACCTACTACACGAATGGACTTACTCATCTCACGGGGTGGGAGGGGACTCTTAGCCCTGTTTGTGCTCTGATTGGCTTAGGGTATACACTGACTTGAGTGACAAATGTATTCAATCAGAGCTTCTGGGGACAGGCTCACACAAGGTCAGCGGAAGAGGACAGAGTAATGCTGCTGGGTCTGCTGCTACCTCCTTCATTGTCCCTTTGTGCCCCCTGGCTAAGAGACCCTAAATGCCACTGATGAAAGCATCTTAAAAGTTCCCCTACAGACAGATACACATTCTCAGAAAAACTCCAACTTTGTGCCCCCTGGCTAAGAGACCCTAAATGCCACTGATGAAAGCATCTCAAAAGTTCCCCTACAGACAGATACACATTCTCAGAAAAACTGGAGTTTTTTCAAATTTGAAACAAAAAACTCCTGCTGGGTAGCAGTAAGCCAAGGTCACCTTCATCATAGTTCCAAAAAGTAAATCCACTGTCTGTGTTCAACAGCCAGTTTCCTTTGGACTCCCAGAATCACTCCATCAAACCAATTTCTT